ACAGAAACTGTTCATTTATTTAACTAAAAGTAAAAAAATATCTTTCTGTGTAAATATCCCATGTTACAACGTGGACACCTGCAGCTTATAGAGAAGAGCGTTCCTATATATGTAAAATTATGTTTTTTCTTTTTAAATGTAGTGGGTTTTTATTCAGGTCACTCAACAGTCCGGAAATTACGGTAATATATGTTTGTGCATAGTGTAAACAATAGCTTGCATTAGAACCTCTATACTATTGTACCCTGAGTCAAAATTACTAACCTTGGCTTTACCTTGCTGACCTTTCACCAGCTCAATAGTGTAATTGTAAACAAAGACTTTAACCAGCTCTGTCCAGGACACTCGTGTGCTGCCCCGGTTCTCATTCTTGGCCTCCACGCGATAGTAGGGCAGGCTGCTGTTCAGCTCAACTTCAGAAATAATGTATGTGCAGGTACCTTGAAAGTGAAAAACAGTACCATCGAACGTGTAATAATGTGGATCACCACTTATGGTGCAGGTGCGTTTAGGCACTGTCTGGCAAGAAATGAACTCGGTTGACAAATTTGGGAAAAAGAGCAGGGCTGGCTGACACACTGTAGGCCGGCGTGGGTGCACATGCATTTTTCTGCACATGTGCTGTCGTTCCAGAATGTGGCTCCAATTTGTACAGTAACATCTATAAAAAACAAAACAAAAACAATGATCAAATCCTTGATACACTAAGTATTGAAAATCATCGTTTATGCTTTAAGTCTCATTTAAATTGGGGCTATTTGAATTGCAAAAAAAAAATGTATTACACATTGAATTCATTGGAGATTCAACACCTTTGAAAATGATCTCTTCTTAATGCAATAACGTGAGGTTTGTTCATCAATAAATTCAATGATTGTATAAGAAAGGAGTGGTCACCTCCGTTTCACAATGTGACCCTGAAACAAAAACTTCCCACATTGTGCCAACCCTAGTTGGGCTGAGCAGATTGTTTGTACAAAGTGCTTGCATAAAACTGTTTTTGTAATGCTGCACGTATGCGTTTCCCAAACGGACATGTACAGAACTATAAACTTCAAACAATACGACTTAAATATCAAATTTTAAAATTGCTAAATCTTTAGTGTACATTTTGAACCAAAAGAAAAAACAAAAAAAAACCAGGAACATCTTAGAGGTGGAAAAAATATTGACATAACAATGGGGTGAAAATATTGCAGATTCTTGGCTTACTGTTAAAAGTACAGCCCCCGATCCATGGTCAGTTTTGAAGGCCCAACAACCTTGACGTTGCTGCCAAGACGGAAGTTTGAATTGGGACCTGTCGCGGAAGGAGTCATGGATCCCGGAATGGTGTAGTAGTAGCTGGATCTGATTGTATCATAGCCTGCCTGCAAAAAGAAAACAAAAAATAAAGGAACGTTGATGCTAGAATGCTAAAAATCCATTTTAGTAGAAAATATACAGCATATCAGCACAAATGTCATCTGGCTTCCAGATATCAACACATCTTGAACAGTGGTGCGCTGGGAACAGTTGACAACAGTGGGTAATTCCAGGGGAAGGGCAGGAGGGTTGCCAGTTAAATTTGACCAACTCTAACTAATTTGTCCAACTTCTAATTTTTGCTTCATTTCCTGATTACCAACTCTGACTTCTAATTTTTGCTTCATTTCCTGATCCTAATCTTTTATTGCTTTCATTTTCCTCAGTGCTCTCTTTGACTTCCCAAAAACTAACAGTACATAGAACATACTGTATGTCTGCATTTGTAATGAGTTAATTGAAAGTGCTGTAATTTACCTGTGTGTCAGAAAGTTTCATAAGTTAGTTCATTAAATATTTGTATTATTTTTGTAGCATTGTGGTGCAGAGTATTTAAAGTTAAAAAAAGTGTAAAAAAAAGAAAGAAAATATGTTTGTTTATTTTGGTCATACTTAAACACTGATGTGGTTCTCCATTATTATTTTTGTAGCATTGTGGTGTAGAGTATTTAAAGTTAAAAAAAAGTGTAAAAAAAAAAAGAAAGAAAATATGTTGCTTTATTTTGGGCATACTTAAACACTGATGTGGTTCTCCAATAAGAGTACTGTGGCAGTCGGCACTGACCATGCCTTTTGTAAATGTTTAGAGAATCAGAATGTAACATTTAAGGGTAGTAGTATAAGAATATTACTTTTTTGTTAGGTGTCATCTAGCTAAAATAAATAAATAAAAATAAAAATAAATGTTTTATCAAACATTTGTCTGATAAAAGGACTGAATGATAGTAAATTTACTCGAGTGACTCGTCTGCAGTCAAAAATACTGCACTTATTGAGCTTATTGTAATTGAAAACAATTACCTCAACGTACTCATCCACAGCAGTGACAGAAATGTTTCATGAAACGTTAAATTAGTGGCATGAGTAACAAAAAGATTATGCTAGTTGCAGTCTGTAGTTTCACCATAGATGTCACTCTTTCTGAAGATCTAGCACTTTCCTAATACATGCGCGTCAATAAAAAAAAATGGACTGTCCCTAAAACATGTCAGTACAGGTACATCTTATGTTTGCTTAATTAGGAAAACAGAATAACAAAGACTTACCGTTCCCGAAGTTGGATAGTAGGCTATCTCATACCACGTCGCTATGAAGACAAAGTCGGCATTGAAATTTAAGCCAGGGAAGTAGGTGTTAATGTCCTGTGTGGCTCGTTGTAAAACCCTCCCGTTGGTGAACTGCTTGTAGTAAACATGACCATTGCGTCTGTTGTCCAGATCCGTCCAGAACGGAGCAATGAAGTCTCTGTCTCCATTCACTGGGAATCGAACAGGTGTGTAACTACTCCACGAAGAGGTAAATGTCAGGTGTCCATTTTGATTCACCTACAAACCATATACATTACAATACACACTGTCAGTGTCTCATTTCATGTATTGTCATTAAATGTATTCTTCAAGGGCTGAGTACATAAAAAGATATTAAAGAATTACAGTGGTCCCTACCTCTATCGCGGCAGTTGCGTTCCAAGACCCACCGCGGAAAGGGAAAAACCGCGAAATAGAGGCGAGATAGTGATTATATGATTTACGTATACGTTTACCCTTAACGAAACTCCCCCACACTGTTATCAATTATATGCACAATGGAGTTGTTAAATGGTAAAAAGGTTCCGACGGAGTTTAAGCGCTCAGCACCGGAGTAGCAACGGACGCAGGTGATCGCAGATTAAGTAATCAAGCCCCTCCTTACTGGCCAAGATGGACGGACCGTATATGAAGGAATATTGTAAAGAAAAATAAAGGCTGTTAACTGTCACCTGTGTCAGCGTCTTCGTTTGGGCGTCGTAGGCCGTTAAATTAGGGTCAACGTTCACCAAACACAAACTTTACGGGAACGGCGCAGGGTAAAGTGAACGGGTGGCGGACAGACAAGGGGAGAAGTTGAAAGACGCTAGGATGCATGAGCCAATCAGCGTGAGGAACAGAAGAGCGTGCTCAACGCTGTGTACGATCTACTATGATCTAATTTTTTTAGGTTACTTTTTTTTTATTATTACAATAATAATGAAAAGTTAAAAATCCGTGATGTACTGAGGGATGTGTGGCGTGGCGAGCTGAGCGTTTTCGAGGAAGACGAGCCAACTCAGCTTGCAATACCATGTTTTCAACGCCCATTGACCACATAACGTTTAGAGGGGCGCTGTTTTACACGCAAAACATCCATTGTTACCTTAAAATTACATATTTTCAGTTGGCACCTCACATTTATAATAATCTCTAACCCATATATGTGGGGACGAGGTAAAAACTCATCGTGCCTCTGTTTGAAAACTGCTAACTTAAAACAAGTTTCATGTTTTGGTGCTTTCATTACTGTTGATTAACTGATAAAAAAATAAAATTAAATAAAAAAAAAAAAAGAGATTGAAAACCAAGACACAAGACTTACTCTGAGATGTGACTGCACCTGTAAGTAAGATATAAAAAAAAAAGAAAATTAAAAAAGGAAATAAAATGAGTGCGGTTAGTGATTATTCGAAACACATGTAAATAACTATGATTTCTTTTACTTAAATGTACTTACCAATTCCCAAAAGCAGCAGAAATAGCAATGCTTGGTGTGCCATCCTTCTGGTGTCCTGAGCGACTCTGTTTCACCATCAAAAACCTGATGAGTGTGGTATGAAATAAAACAAAATATCACTTCTGTGGCAAGTGATAGAAATGGTATTTAAGCGAATCACTTGATAGCCTGATGGCCGTCTCTTTCTTTACAATGAAAATACAGGGGTATTTATGGAAAAACATTTATAGTACAGTGGGTTGGAATTATGTCGGTAACAACTTCAAGTTATTTGTTATGTCTTTGAGACAACAGGCTTCATTGTTCTGTCTGATGTGTCTATTCGCAATGTTCTAAAAGTAGTAATTCAACTTTTAACATGAGGGCAATGGTTCAAGTATTTGTTGATCGAGGTACTTTTAAAGTTAAGGCTTATCTTATCCGATCACCTAAAGTACCACTAATTATGTTTGAATTGAAATCTGAAGATCTTTTGCTGCTTCATTTGTTTGTGCAGATTTCCTGACGGGAAAGTGACATTAATGAGTACAACACCCTTACCTGCTTCAAAGTCTATACAGTACAGTACTACATCTGAACGTAGCCTTTTTGGGGTAGAGTCATACACTTACAGAAAATCCAAACAGGGCTGTGCCCACATTTGCAAGACAAAAAAAGAATTCCGTGAACTGAAGGTATCCACACTAAATCTGAAAAATCCCTGAGTTGTGGATAACATTCTTCAAGAGCTAATAGGAAAGTTAACAGTAAAAGTGAGCAATTAAATCAACACATTTTCATGAAGAATACTAAAATAAATAAAATAAAATACTTAACGTATTCAGACTTACTGCTTTTTAAGTTCTTGTATGTGTCTGAAGAATATCTGGGAGCCTTCCACAGGAATGATTTGCAGGCAGGTGTAAAACATTGTCCTGGAGCGGAGATTTTATATAGCTCTTCTTGCTCTTTTAAGTTTCTTTTTTAGAAANNNGTACAGATTATTAGGCAACTGAGGAAAGCTTTAGCCACAATCTTTTGTTTTTTACACCTTGTCAGGAAACTTCCTCCATTGGATAGGACTGTAAAAAATGCTGTTAGTTCATACCCCAGTTTCCCAACACACAAAGGATTTCGAATAAAGATCAAATCAAATCTAATCAAATAAAGAATCAAATATGAGATCTCAAAGTTTTAAAAGTTTTACTTGCAGCAAGGAGTGCAGAACAATGGTTACATTCAGAACTGCACTGAGGAACTCCTCAGTGCTCAAAGCTTAAATACAGTTTTTTTAAACACACAAACGTCAATGGTCAACACCTTAACCCTTTACAGCCATGTGGTGTTCTCGCACAACTTCTGAGCACTGATTGGTAAAGACTGCTTCAACGAGGATTCTCCACCAATAGGAGCTGTGTGAAAATGTTTAAAAATGATAAGACCACGCAGTTCAGATGTTTTTGACTCTTTGTTTTTTGTTGGTCTCCATATTTGGGCAAAGAAACCAGTTCAGACCGGTTCTGTGTCCTTTCTCTATCTCCAAGTGTAACAGTCAGTACAATTCAGTGTTGCTCTTATCATCCTGTGATGTAAACTATCAGCATGCACACCTGTCTTCAACACTTTCCCTTTTAGTACAGCACAACAACAGCATTCAATAACAGTATAAATTGATATGGAAACTTAATACAATGAATATATTGTAAAGATTGAATAAATGTATTTAGAACATCTTAACACACCTCCTCTGCCCCCCCTTTTTTTTCAATGGCAAAGTCACATTTTCAACCAACCAAAAGTGCAACTCTTCCTGACGTTTGCAGCATTTCTACTTCCTTCGAGAACAAGTTTGTACTTTCTCTAAAGTACAAGATGGCCTTCCACACTTTAACAAGTCACACATCAGTTCACACCTGGTCAGTGAACTCACACACATTCAGGTAGTCGCTCGAACATGCCTTTTGCTTATGTCACATTTGATTTCAACTAACGAAATCTAAACCAAAATTTAGGATCCTGAGGCATGATGGGTAATCATACTCCAAACCATTCTCTTAATCTCCAATAGAAACACAGCAGCCTCTTCAGAAAAGGTTACATTTTGTCTCGTTCGACCACTTGATGTTTTTTCTATTGCTCCAGAGTCCAATCTTTAAAGTTGTAGGGCGATTGAGTGAGAACCTTTGACCACAGTCCTTTAATATATCCAGGTGTGGGCAAACATTTTGACTGTAAATAAATACTGACAATAAATATTATGTATTTGTGTAAATAATAATTATTTAAAAAATTGAATTGATTATTTTACTCCCTCAGAATAGAATCAGTAGTAGTGTATTAAGTATTATTTAATTAGTACTCATCATTTGACAGGCAGAACTATTAAATACTCACCCACTAGGTGGCAGTAGATCGCTATAAAATCTAAACAGGTCCGGGTTTCACGCTAAATGACACATTTTTCTTTGGCATTGTGCTGTTTTTTCGTTTGCTCAGTTATTGTTAGCACAGATTAATGATTGAAGTGAAAACCGGGCAGGCTGACCTTCCTTCTTGGCCTCCTGGTTTCCGTGTGAAGCTCAGGAATACCGTTGGAAAGCACAAGCATCTCTGCGTAGGTTGCTACAAGTGGAACTCTATTTAAAGAAAGGGAGAAAATTATTTCATTATTTTCTTATTAAAACCATACATCATGGGAATGTAATCAACACCACTACAAACTACCATTCATCTTCTCGAGTGTAAAGTGAAATGACAGCAAGGGGGGGGGGGGCTGTTGGAGTTGTCAGAATGACCGTAGCTAAATCAGTGCAGTTTCTACCCAGACATCTTGACACCAATCATTGACAGTTTTGTGCCATCAGTTTGACAGCAAAGGCCTAGTGTCTGCCTACTGCTACCTGCTGATTTGAACCAATAACTGATTTATTACTACATGCCTACATGGCAGGGTCATGCGCCATCAGTTTGACAGCAAAGGCCAACTGTCTGCCTACTGCTACCTGCTGATGTGAACCAATCAGTTATTACTACATGCCTACATGGCAGGGTCATGATCAGAGAATTGTGGTGTGATGAGTGAGCACCTTACCTGCTGTGGGGGCCACTGAACCATCATCCACGGCTCCTGTTTCATGGATGGTTAAATGTAAAAGGACACATTTAGTAATAAATACAATATACATTTAAAGATGCTGCTTCATCCTCATATTCCGTTGCTAAGAAATGGCTACAAACAAAAGTGCAGACATAACATTTAGGTTTATTAGCTGTGATGTTAAGAAGCTCGTCATATGAACCAATTGTGATGTCAGTAACTCCTAGGATAAGGTTAAGTTCACTCCACAACAGTTGTTTTTAATCGGGGGAGGAGCCCCCCAACAGCTTGCTCTCAAACGTTACACCTCTGCACCTTTTTTCAATGTAGTATCATTTTTAATGATGGGAGGTATTTGTTAATAGATGCTAGTAACGCCGGGATTATCACTCTCTCCTTGAAAGCATTTTTCCAGGACTTTCCCAGGACATTCAGCTCCTACTGACAAGACAAGTTATCAGGTCAGACAAAAATACTAAAACCACATCATTCTTGTGGGTCGAAAAGTGTGCATTCACCCAGAGGTGCCATAGGGCAGCGGTTACACACCTGCCTTGCAAGCGGAAGCAGAGAGTCGGCAGTTTGATTCCCAGAGGAACCACATCCCTAATGACGCCTCCGGTGGCAGCCTGTGTCAATTGCAAAGAATCACACTTTTAATTACTCATTGGTGGGACAAACAAGGGATTATTATTAACTTTTTTGCCGCTGCTATACAGTATAGCTACCAATTATATCAAAGGCATGTAGAAAATGTGGTTCTTAGTTTTTGTTACAATTTCCATCTACTTTCAAAAGATTCCTGTGACCAGCTCAACACTTCAGAAACACGTTGCATTACTGTACGCGCACAGTGTACAAAAATACCCACTACGTGTATATTGAATTCCATACAAAATAGTTGTGGTTTATTCATTTGGGAAAAAAATGGCAACAACTAAGTGTCACATGTCACTGATAACCAGCGATATCTACAGGAAATAAAGAATGGTTCCTTTTATTTATTACCATTTCCTACAAATGATAACTTTTAACAAATTCCATGTGGTTCTTCCTCAGTGTTCACGTCCACCCTTCTTTTCTCTTTGAACATTAAAACGTGTTCATTTCAAATTAATTTCCCCCTCAGTCTTTACACCTGCAAAGAAAACATTTGTATAATATTTGTTTTTCCAAATTCCATGGTTGGAAAATGCTTTCGCTTCGGACTTCTTCAAAAATACTGGCGATATGTACAAACTCCTAAGAAAACAATAGCAGTGACTGCTCCGAGAGGAGGGGAAAACATTGGAACTTCATTCTGAATGAATATTAACATGCCCAAATGAATCCTAATGTTCGCTTGTCTGCCGCCAACAGCTTCTGTCGCCCCCTGCTTGGGCGTAGCTTGAATTGATTTTCTTGCCCTAAGGGGGTTACAAAGACACGTTCACACAAAAATACTGTGTCCTCAAGGATAGTATCATCACAGGCTTTGCTATTTTCTGTACTCTCTCTGTACTGCTCTTAATTCTGGCTATTTAAGAGAAGATGGAAATGGGCGCAGATGAAGCTCGAGAAGTTCTTTAAGGGATTCGAGTGCGGTTTTTGCTGATAAATCCTGTTAAAGGGAACGTGTTTTTGGTGGTCCGGCTGGGGCGTTACTCCACGGAGCTTCCTTCAGCGTGTGCTTGCCTGCAGTATTTGTATTTCACTGCTGGTAATAAGGGCTGATGTGGGTGTACTGTATCTTTAGTGCAATGTTTAACCCCTCAACTTTCTTCGGGGAAATAATATGAATTTTGTCCCTTTATTATCTGCCTTTGTCTGAATAGCCCTTGGTTGTCTTTTGAAGGGAGGCAGGGCTTTGAGGAAGGATTTTTTTTTTCTTCAGTTCCACACGGACCCACATTTCTCTACGTCGGGGTTTCCATGAAACCATGAGACCAGAGTAATCGAAATTGTCAATTAAAGACGTTCAACCATTCGTCTGCACTTCTCCTTCAAGCCTCAGGAATTGCCAGACACTGGGCTCCCAACAGGTTCTTTGTGGCGCTGCTGCCTTGTGAAACGGATTCCAAAGGAGGAGCTTTCTGGATGCCAAAGGATTTTGTTTTCAAACACAGAGAACGTCACAATGTCAGCTCTCATACATGGCAAAGCAAAGAAAACGGGAACGAGTTACGGGGGAGGAGGTTCTTTTGTAAACGACAAACATTCACTTCACAAGCCCACCGCTCGCTCTTCCTCTCCTTCCTCGACTTCGTCCTTCTTCGATCCCTCCATCTTTTGAAGAGAGTAAATACAGCAGGTTGGACAGGGCCGAGGGTGGGGGGTTTGAAGGAGGCTGTAGGTAGTGTAGTAGGTAACAGCGTAGGGAGATGTCATCCCTGTGTTTGACAAGGGAGGGTGTGTATCATTTCATGTGTTTTTGTGAGTGCATATGGGACAGTCGGCACCCCCGCTATCAGGCTGTTATGACTGTTTGAGGCGCTTGCGTGGCGGACCAAGAAAAGGACACTGGGCTGAGGCCAGAGAGCGGTAGGCTTCTGCCACCAGGTGAGGATGAGATGCCACCATGGATTTCCAGCCAGCTGTTTCCATCACCTCTGCAGCATGGCTGAAGGACGAGGAGAGAAAGAGAAAACGAAAAAGTCTTAACCCAAGTGAACAGGACTGCATTGGACTTCGGCGTTCTTTTTCACTATTTGTAACAATTCTGCGCATGCTTTTGTGTGAACGTACTAGTTGATAAAGTCAACAGCTTGGGTTTTGAGCTGGTCGGCGCTGTGTAGATCAGCCAGGATGAGAATCTCCGCAGCATTTTCCACAGACAGACTGGTGCACAGAGCGTCCTCACACATGACCTTCAGTCTCTCTAAGGCATACTAACAAAGAAGGTGAGGTGGGGGATTAATCAGAAGAGTAATATACTCTCCTTTTACAGTGGTATTCTGCTGGGGACGATATTGATTCTTCATCAATGCAGACATCATCATGGGTTGGAGACAAGTGTAGATATATATATATATAGTATAAACTCAAATAGTTTCTCTCTGGGTTAACAACCCCTTAAACCAAAATACACAGCAGAACACAGCTAACCCAGATAGAAAGAGTAGGAGGTGGCCACACACAAAAACATAATAAAATTAGTTTCTGAAAATCGGAATATGTTCAAATCTGTCAGGTTTTATCCAGCATGTTGTAACACAACTTCCTCCCTGTTCAGCTGGTACAAGCAGGCAAAAAGTCTAAAAGTTAAAGGGCTGTATTACAATTCTGTTCAGCTGGTACAAGCAGGCAAGACTAACTTACCTCAACCTCTAAAAGTTAAAGGGCTGTATTACAATACTGTGTGTTTCTAATGCAGCGAAATTGCATAAGAGTGTGAAACAAATGTAGGCTAGTACAAAACATGCCTTCCAGATGAGGAAAATCTTGATGATGAAAGATGAGGTGAAATGTCATACGTAGAAAGGCCAATAGTTCAATCTCTATTTGTTTTACAAAGCAAACTACAAGACAATTCAACAGTCGTGGAGATTTCTTTTTCATTCATGTTTAAGACTTTTTGTCATTTTAACAAAAATAAATCACATGAATATATTATAGATATGGTTTTATTATAATTTGGAATCTATAGAATTCAAAACTTTGATTAAATATTTTACTTTACACTTTACACTACACACTACTTTAAAGTTGAAAGTGCAATCGAAGGACTTGACTCAGCTGAGAACTCAGCTCATAATCGGAAGTATTTTTCTCTTATATTACCTTGTCGGCAGCTGCCAGCAAGTCGTCTGCCATCTTGTCTAAGTTTGGAGCCTTGTCTGTGTAAATGAAGCACATCATCTCTTTAAAAACTTCAGGCTCCACATCGTTGATCTCCACACGATTCTGACAACACACCCAGAAAGATAAAGAAATGGTTTAAGAAGATGATCTTTGAATACATTCACTGCTGATGTTTACAGATGAGCGCGTGACTCAACAAAAGGTGCTGATAATTGAATTGATTCAAAACGATTGGTTTTCTCTTTGTGTGCTTGTGATCAGGTTGTCAACCTTGTTTTAGACTTAGTACAGCAAAACCGTGTGTCATACTGGCAACGAGCAAAATAAATTAATTTTATCAGCTCATATTTTAAGCAAGCTATCCACGCTAATATATATCATTTCAAATAATGATCACACACCATGAAGAAGCAATTCTACTGGAGGTTATTGTATGTCAGCACAACACGGCTACAACACTGAAACCTTCACCACATCCTCAAAACTGCAAAAGCACACACGCAAAACAAACATCATATCTACACTACCCGTTTTTTAACCACTCAAAGGTTTCTATTTTTCCTGTCAGTTCTATCTTATTTTATGTGTGCCACATATTTTGCAGATTAATCAACTTCTGAAAATGAAAACATTTAAACATGACAAAGTTTGAGTTTGATTTTCTATTTAAAATGTTCAAATTAATAAAGGTCAGGACATCTGGTTCCACGAGTAATTTCATTTCATCAGGTCACGTGGATAACGGGACAAAAGAGCAATAAATGTAAATCTGAATTATGGAACCACGATTTCATTTCAGTATCACCATTTTTCAGTTTTGCTCATTGAGCTTCGTGTAGCAGCTGTGAGACTGAACACAATTCTTTATTTGATTCAACACTGCAGTGAAACACTGACACGTCTAATTCTATGAATAAATATGCTGCGGGGCCTTGAGCTTACCTTTTTACTCTCCTCCATCTCATGTTCAAACATGGCACTGAATACAGGGGATCGTGCTGGAAGCAGTGAGATTGCAAAAAAAAAAAAAAAAAAAAAAGTCTATGTTATTGTGTAATTCATTTTTTTTGTTATCTCAAGCAATAGTCAGACAGCGGTCTTCTAGTCACGTCTGTACCTGCAAGGATGGCTTTGTGAGCCTGGAATTCCTGGCCAGCTACACACAGGGAACAGTCAGTGAAGCGCGAGTTCTCCCACAGACCACCCAGCTCATCAGCTAACCGACAGTCTGGCACCTTCACCATGTTCATGGTGTTCTGCCCAGATATGTTGACTGAGTCTTGCACCACGCTTACCTAGGGTCGAAAAAGATATGATTTAAAATCTTTTCTGTGTCTTGTGACCAGTGAGACCAAAAAGTTGTACAAACTAAACAACAAAGTAATGCTCTGTACGGACACTTTACATATATATATATATAAATATAAATATAAATATATACAGTATATGTATATACATATATACACAATATACATTTATATTATATATACATGTTATATATTTATTGTGGACTTTGGTTTATATACATTTTATATATTTATTGTGGACTTTGGTTTATGTATATGTTTATACATATATATGTACTGTATATATGTGTATTTATATAAAGTATGTGTGTGTGTATGTATATTTGTATACTGCATATGTATAGAAGCAACTTAAAAGAAAACATAACCAATATATGTTCTATGTTTCTCTTTGCGCCCCATTTTCCGACTGATGTCACTGAATTAAATGTGAACATATGTTAAGCTCCAGTGCATCTGAATTATCCGGAATTATGACTGAAAACCAAAATCCACGATAAAATTACCTCAGACTCCTACAGAGGATCGAGAATCAAAAAACAGATCCAAGAGTTACCTCACAGAAGAGAGTGAGTTTGTCATCAGGTAGAAGTCCGTTGGCCTCATCTAGGAGGAAGTCTCTCCGGATGAACTTCTTAAAGCCCCAGTCCTTCCCCTGCACAAAGCGATACGCTCTCTGGCTTTCTGCAGATATCCAAGGAACACAGATTAAGAAGGTTAAAATACTATAATAATAATGACCACTGTGACAAATAATGAACTGCAGAGGAGTGGAGTTTGTCTAAGTTGTGGCTCTTGAGTGGCTTCTGTTATAGTTTCAAATAAAACCCAGCTTACCCATGGCTTTGGTCTCCTCTCCCTTGGCATTTAGAATGGAGAATTTAAACTTGGCTCTCACTTCTGCCTTTGGACAGCTGACCAGCAGCAGGTAGAGAGATAGGTAGTCCTTACTCTCCTCATCTAAGCCCTTTGGATTCACTCGCAAACACCTGGGATTTAGTCGAAGTACAACAGAAGAGAGTTCGGCAACTCAAATAAGTGGGTGGTTGATTTTGCTTTTTAGTAAACAACGGGCATAAGCATCACAAAGCTTTTGTGATTAACAAACAAACAAACAAACAAACAAATTCTACAAAAATACATTCTTATGACAACTCTAAGCACATTTCTAGTATCTTTTTTAAGAACAAGTTTGCTCTGTTTCCTGTTTTCTTGAGATCCTGAAATAAATGTCTATTCTTACTCAATTTTCATTCATGCTCATCTGACCACAGTATTAATCTGTTCAGGTTATTCCATTATTTAAATGTTGTGTCAACAGGTTTCAGATGAGCCTTGTAAAAGTGTTGCTAAGGACATTCCAGCGGATGTAAATGTAAGTAAAATGAAGAAGGTTAATTCAGATAATAAAAAAGACAATGGAAGAAAAAGGGAGAATAGAGAACAGAAAAGAGGAAACAATGATCAATGATCAATGAAAACAGCAAAAGGTCAAAAAACAAAATTTAAAAAACAACTGCTTCTCTAAATTACCATTTCAGTTTGTCGTTGGCCCCAGAAGAGAAAGTGGAACTCTTGATGACCTCTCCCATCTCCTCACGACAGAAGCTGAAGTTGTTGATGGTCCACATGTAAGAAAACTTCACCACTTTGATCTGATGGGATAAAATCATCACACTTAAAGTTATAACAAAATACAATGAGCAATTTGAGGAGTCAAACATTTTTCTCCCTCTCATCACTTGACCTGCGTATAGCACCAGCTTTCGGCCACAGGCCCGCTGGACATTTCCGCAGGGGGAGGGGGACTCGGGACTCTTGACATTGCCAGCGTGACAAACTGTGTCGGGCGCAGGAAGGTGAGGAATCCAACTCTTCCACTCGTCAACGATCACTCCTGACTCTTACATCAGTACATGGCAGAAAGAAGCAGCGTTCCCCCTGGAAACAAACAATAAGACAGGGTGATTAAAGCTGCCCAGAAAATCCAGTTGCGGTTGATGAGGCGATAATGTCCCTGTTTACTGCATGTCACATTAAACATTTGGGCATAGGTATTGGCTCTGCAGGGATATATTTGTTTTTTCCAATGTTCGAAAGCATTTTCAAAAACTGTTCCTGATCTGGGGTGAGCTGATGAAGGTAACTGGCAATACATCAGGCAAGCACCACAGAGCTTTCTTTATTTGTCTAAAGCTGATGGAGGTAACTGGCGATACATCCTGCGGGCACCACAGAGCTTTCTTTATTTGTCTACAGACAGTGACTACCAACATGTTTTGCTTAAATCTTTAGTGTCATTTGTATTTAACAATAATGTGCAAAAGCGATAGTCTGAGTCTCAGCCCATGTAGCTGTGTCCCCAAACCCAGGTGTAAACAGCTGATACTTCTGCACTAAATTCAGTTACTGTATTGAAATAAAGCTACACCTTGAACACGCCGCACCTTAAAGTACTGTTTGATTTGTTTACAATTACATTTATATTCCACAACTGCCAATATGAAACGGAGCATGCGCAATGTTTTCGGTACAAGTCGCCACATCAATCAACACGTACAAACAGCACGTAATCAACACATACCTAGAGTTGCACAAGCTGCCCAGTTGTTAACAAGTCTTCCTTTAAGAATCATTACTAATGTTACATGTAAAACTCTTGGTGCAAAGTGGATGCATCATTTCCAAACATTGTTATTTCAATTGTTACTCATGTGGTTCAGGTTACCAATTTTAACACTTAAAAACAGAACATATGGGAAAAAGGGCAACGTTGCATATAAAATAAAAATAACTTAAATGTGTGTGTAGATTACTACATATTTCTCAATAAATATAATAGGCATGCTCTGATTGGTGAATTCATTCAATTAATCTATGAGTAGATCTATTTTATTGGCTAAACTGTAGCTATTTTTACACAGTGGTACACGCGTTACTTATTTAAAAAACAAACACACTAAAGTGTGTTTCATCTCTTTTATTTAAAGATTGTGAATCATTGACTCAGAAAACCTCTAAGTTAAGTTGAGCCTACTGAAAAAGTCAATAATTTCTGATTCTTTCTCAGAAAAATACACACAAAAAGCTGTTGTTTTAGTTATCATGGAATGTTTCTTTTTTATTTATAAAGATGTTGAGGTTCTGACACCTCCAAGGTTACCTAAAATGGTTTACTATTAAAAGATGGGTGATTAAATCTCCTCACTTTGTACATAATTCTCTAAGAGGCAACACCACTGTGATATGGTCTGCATGACACAGGAGATTGGCATAGCATGTATATTTTCTTATAATAATACTTTGTCATTCCCTACTACAATGTACAAAATATACATATAAGAAGAAGTGAGAGTCTATTTGCTTCCTGTTATTATATTCCTTCGTCCCTTCTTGTCAAAACAGTCTAGACAACATGTTGTTTGGTCTGAGTTTGACTACAAAATTACATGGCTGTGCAATGTCATTTCCTTAATACTAACATTGAATTATGTATTTAACTCCAGTAATACCATCTAATCGTCGAAATTTTCCATTTCCACAAAATATAGCTTGGTAAAAGTCAGTAAAAGATATATTCTGTCTTTTCTGTCACTGTTCTTTCAAAGACTGTCTTAATTTAAATATTATCCACAAAACAAATACACATTTACTATTAGGGCACAAAAACGGGACAAATGTAGATAAACTTTACCCAATACTGCCACAAATAAATTATCTGTTCGTTGTCTGTAGTTTTTTCTCTGCAACAGATCAGATTTTGAACACAGGGGTTGACAGTAGCGTGTTGTTTACCTGGTAATAATAACAATTAGGAGTCACGGTAACTTGCTTTGTAATTATTACGCAAAACAATACTCGACACGGTTACAGCAAGACACTGTTGTTATATCAACGCCCCTGAATTCGAATTCGGTGGCCAAATAAACCACACAACAATTTACTTTCTCACATTAGCGTGTCAGCTAGTTACCCTGTTAGCCAAATTCATAGCCGCTACCATAAGCCATAACAAAAAAGGTCGGAGCATTTTTTTTAACCAAAAGAAATGTACTATGTTTTCAACACGTATGGATACGTGTTAAATCAATTTATTTATCTTTGTTTTGAAATTGTCAACAGACTCACCCTTATGATGACTTAAATAAAAAAAACACTGTTCGTTCGGGGTCTTGTTGTTAGCTAGAAGGCTAGTTGTCTATACGACTGACGTCCAAACAGTCAGCTGTCCCACAGCACCTCCTGCTGTACTGGGGTGATTTTATGTATTAGAAGTGACGCAAAATGACACATCTTGGGGGTTTTAGAACTGTTTTGTTCTCTGTCGACGATATTTTAAATAATTAAAAATGTTTATTTTCTAGATTTTCTTATATTCTGGTATCGAGGTGTTTGAGATATATTGCGTTTGTATATTTGTACTGGGAAGAAGCTGCTGCTGTAATTTCCTAAAATGACAATAGGAAAAGACCCCACCCCGACGTCGTAATTCGTAAGGCCCAGCTCTTTGGAGATAAAGACGTTCTTGTTGCACATAATGTGGAATAAATACATGACAAATATATAGGGCAGGGTTCCATTTTGCAAGCTTCCTGAGCAACAGTGTGAACAAGCTTTACATTAAAAGCTGCTTGAGAGAAAAAGAATGGAGATATTAAAGTTGCATTGAGGATTAAACATATTTGATAATTCAAATGCTTTATTTGCCTCAACCACAGCACAGCATGATTCAGTATTTAATGCTAATTAACAGCATATCCCTATAATAGACAGACAGCATTTATTCATATACAGTGAAACGTGAATAAATGCATTTGAAGTACTCACTCACAAAATTTCTCCTTATGTGAGAGGAATTCCCTAAATTTATAATCTTACAAAATGTTAGCTTTTCACCAAAATCTGTTTTTCTGTGTCTCTTCACTAAAAAAATATGATTGAGAAAGCTTGTCAGCCTCTCTTTGAATAACTAACTATAGTCAGTTAAAACCTCAACTGTCCCGGGAGCTGAAGAAAGCCATTTTTGAAAGAAGGCCATATTTGTAAAACATAGGTATTGAAGGGAAAAGGCAGAAGTATAATGATAATATGAATAAATTATATAATTTAGAAACATTTGGCAGGCCGGATTAAGAAGTTGAACGGGCCACATCCGGCCCCAGGGCTTTAGTTTGTCCACGCATGGTCTAAACATATCTTGGCACCGCAGTTGATTTTAAGTCTTGAACCACAACCTAATCCTAAATCAGTAAATTAGCGGAGAGTGTAATGAAGCTGGAGTAGACACAGCGTGCACCGATGTCATGTACCATCCAAAAACGTGACTCTTCTGTGTAGACTACACGTCTATGGACTACATCACAGCAGGACCTCAATAATTAAGACATGTTAATTATTGACACACCTACGTCAAATATATATATAAAAAACTCATGTTGTATATGCAAATTAAATTTAGAGAAACTATACAGACATCCAAAAATGTAAATATACAAAAAACTCATGTTGTATAGAGAGAAACTATACAGACATCCAAAAATGAGTAATATTATTATTATATACACATACAGAAGGAAAGTGGAAGGAGGAAAGTGAACTACTTGTCATTGTGACACAGCAAACCACAGCACACAACCAAATGTGACTTCTGCTTTGAACCCATCACCAAAGTGAACAGTGGTAACTTGGCAGCTGGTGGACTCAAACCTGAAGCCTTCCGGACCCACGTCCGCTTCCTTAACCACTGAGCCGCCATTGCCCCCAGAAGATATACACAGCATATTTAACGGCGCTGTTTAGGAACAACAATATTTCCACTTGTTGCGATAGGGATTAAAATCTTGCGTTGCTCCATGCGCAAGTATTTTTCGATCAGCACCTCCACCGGCACCTTGTCATTCACATAACCTTGCCTGGAGGGCAAAGACAAACAGAATAATAAATGGAATTAAATCTGTGTAAATTACACTTAAAATATTTGATCAAAAATGATACACTGTTCACAATTTGTTTTCTACATTTCCAAGACAGTTTTGCACTCACTGCGATTCATTTAAGACAAAATCAAAGACCTTGAAGTTCCTACCTGACGCACAACTACAATAATTCAGGTTGTATATTAGGAATTGCTGCCTCTCAGGGACAATTGAATATGTCCTCATAACATGACACCAGCCAGGTCACTTTACATTTAAATGAAATTCGTCATACAAACCTTTTCAAAAGAAGAACAGCATCCTCCATCTCAATGGTTTTTCTCTTCGCATGATGTGCGTAGGATTCCAGGTCATCTGTCAGCCGATCGAAGTATTTATCCATTCTGTTGAAAGTATGTATAGTATAGTATAGAATATGAATATAGTAGTATCATTTCTCCTGGCAGTGAAACACAAAATGAAGACAAAAAATACAGACAAGAGGTGAGATTATTATTGGCACCTGCTGTCTTCTGTGTATTTTTTTTAACTGATTTCTATAAACGTAAAAAGGATTTGACATCATTTTTATGTTGTATCCTATATCTGGAAGCAATTACACTTACTGTACATTTTCTACTTGTACTTGTTGACAGAGGACAGCAACTTCCATAAACCTGTATTTCTTTACATTGTCGGAAGAAACAGTTTGTTTTTCATGTTTACCCCCCCCAATAACTGCTGGAAAATATATTTCCTTCAGGAAATTAACTTGTCATTGGTTAACTAAAAAGGTAACACTGATGTGCCCGATCAGCATTCTTTTAACTCATTCAATAGCATTCAAAATGAAATGCTCGGTTATCCAAAATAAGGTCACAATTCACTGGTTGGTTGTGAGTTGTGCAGATAAGTGCCGCCTGCTCACTAAGGTGCAAATTTGAGTTGTGAGTTGTGAAGATAAGTGCCGCCTGCTCACTAAGGTGATGGGTTATACCCATGTCCCCCACTAGGGGACAGACGTTTTTTCACCACCAGCATTCTGCATACAATCCCCTGATTAATAAAATGAGATACAATGCTGCCATCTAGTGACTAGAAGAGTTCAAGACAAGTTACTGCAATTGTGTTTCAATAAAAAGTTCTTCACAGCACTGACGCATCTCACTGGTCTGTAGCAGGGGCGTTAAACTATTTTAGAGCACATGTCATTTCGAAAAAAAAAAACCCAGGCATTATCAGGTTTTCAATATCGGAGGAAAAACCGATTACGATTCTTGAAGATATTACATAATTATGCTAATATCGGTCGGCCAATAATATCGGACATCCCTACTTATCATCATAGTGACTTACGTATCCTTCAGGACAGGGTAAATGTCGGGGGAGACCTTGGTTTTAGCAAAGTGACGGAACACACTCATGAGATAGCTTTGAGGAAGGCCTAGATCGTTCTCTGTTGTTTCCCTCTTCCTACGGATCCGCTTAGGCTTAGCCGCAGGTGCAACCTTTCCTGTGTTGCTGCAACCAGAACAAACAGCAGAAGAGGAAGTCAGATGAAAGATAGACAAATTGTTGTTTTACTTTTCACATAAAAGTTTGATTTTAATATCTTGCCGCCTTTCGCTTGTGAAGTCATCAGGTTGTCTGCAGGTACTCGTTAAGACAAATTAAAAGAGCCTCACTGTGACTAGTTGTTGTCTTCACCAAGACAACAAAAATGGGCAACTTACCTGCTTTCTGCATCTGTGAGAACAGAGGGAAAGACGTTATGTTCCCCAATGAAAAAGTTCCTCTTCTCTTTGACAAAGGCTGGAGTCTTGCAGGACATGTCTGAAGACACACAGATGACATAATGAATCAATGCACGATACCCTTTATATATAGAGAGATATAGAGATAGAGATAGAGAGAGAGCGAGAGAGAGAGAGAGACAGAGAAGACTTGAATTCCAGGCGACTTCATTTTGATTTATTGTGCGATCAATGGATTTATTGATTATTGTCCCGGGCAAACACACAACAACGACAAACAACTGACCGTTACCCTCCGAGTCATCGCCGTCATCCTCCGACTCTTCATTCTGTTCAATGAGGTCTGCAGCAGGTGCAGCTTCTTCTTGCGCAGGTATGGAATCACTCAGGAAGCTTCCTCTTTGACTTTTATGCGTCAAGTCCAATAAAACGTTTTCTCTGTTTGAAGTTTCAGCTTCTGTCTCCTGAGCATCTTCGTGCTCTTCTGTAGAAAGTTCAGCCAGATCCGGCGTACAACTACGAGGAGGGATGTCCTCATGACCCCCAGTTTCCAAGCTGGTGCTCACACGGTCACGGTGTACTGTGGACACACCAACAAACCAAAGAGAACAACAACCGAAACTTGTGAGACAACAATCGACACCAACAGTTTAGCTGTGAGACCTGTAGTTCTTTTATGTTTTATTCTTTGTAGCACAATTATGCTACCCACGAATAATGAAAATGTAGCCCTTTAAATTACACAGTGATTTGTGCACATCATGACCATGAGTCGTTTAAAGCAGCACCTTGAGTAAAAATGTTGAATATAACCAAGTGCACGTGTACAATGACCTGTATTGTATGGTATGTAGCTGTTAAGTTACATCTCTTAGTATTTTTACAATTATTTAAAATGACTGTTTATTTCTGAAAAATAACCAGGCAATGTTAATATTATTAATATTAATAACAACAGCATTAATAATAATTATTAATGTTTTTTAAAGTCACTGTAATCACTTAAATCAAATTGTAATGTTGTGCTTTGCAAGTTGAATTTTAGACATTTCTATTTAAAGTTTGTTGAATCTTTAAAAAGTCTAACTATGAACATTTTTCAAACAGCCAGCAACACTACAAATAAAAAGTGATATTTTTATCTTACCTATCTCTGTTGTGTCTGGTAAACAATCCTCCGCTTCACTGACACGTGCGACCAGCTCACCCAGAGAGCGATGAGCCCTTCTACTAATGCGTTTCAGCTCTTCTGACGTATTTAAATCCTCTTCCTCTTCTTTCTCCTCCTCGCAGTCCATCCGAGGCTCAGCTTCATCGTCAGATTCAGACGGAGCAACAACCTCTTGGTGATCATAGCATCCCTCTTCATCTGCCACGCTCTGATCTACTCCTCCATCTTCATCAGAATGATGCGACGCCTCCTCCACGTCAGGCTTGGATCCTGTGTGAACATCTTCCGTAGTCGGGGAAGAATCATCTCGATTGCCGACAGCTTCTCCCGTCAGGTCATCTGCACCTTCCTGATGACCGTCTGCTGCAACCTCATCTTTTTCTGACTGAGAAACCCGCCGTCCATCGCAAACAGATTTCTCCTTCTCGATGTTACAATTTTCCATTTCCGTCTGTCTCTGAGAGTTGAGGTCCGAGTGCGGGTAGAAAGCTGTGGTGCAGTTTACAATATCACTGGTGAAGTCAAGGCTTAGGGAGAAGCCCTCTCCAGTAGCTGTGTTATCAATCGTTTTCAAAAAGTCGACTTTTTCTATGTGACAGGAGACAAATGTACAAAAGGATTAACTGGACAGTACGACTGTACAAGTGTATATCTGCTAAAACATGGTTGTCAACAAGTCAAGTCAAGTCAGTTTTATTTGTATAGCCCAGATCAGGCATGGACAAACTACGGCACAGGGAGTGAATGCTCGCCCATTTAGCTTTTTAATCCGGCCCACCAAACTCTTCTACAGTCTACAACACCACACAAAGCAACAATAACGACAAACTAACCTACTAACACGACTAACACTAACACATGTATCTACGACAACTAACCTACTAATCTACTAATATCCACTGTTCAGGTTTCTCAACAATGTGCTACATCTGCTACTTTTTTTGTATTTGTATTTTGTTGTATTTATTGTAGTGGCGCTTTGGCCCAAAGGCAATGTCTCTGTCATTGGTGTGGAACCCCAGGGTTCACCTCCTGGGCAAGTTCGAATCCTGGTTAGGGCGGTTGGTACCTTCTAGTGGACTCAGGGTGGGTTGGTACGGTGCAGTGTGATTTGGGTGGCGACTGCTGCCCCCGCGACCCGGTAACAGATAAGCGGATGAAAATGGATGGATGTATTTATTGTACTTAACTTATCTGTGTGTTCTTACTGTTGCCTTTGGTGCTGTACTGCTGCTGGAGCCTTAATTTCCCAAAGGGAACTCCCAAGTTCTATCTATTTATCAATTTCCCATTAAATGGCGTGGAAAGGGCTCAAAGCATTTTAGCCTTTATACATTACTTTTATCTTAGTTCACACAAACGATCCATCTATCTGCTCCTGACCCGGCTCCTCTGTCAAATTTTAGGCCCCATTGTGGCCTGCAAGTCAAAAGGTTTTCCCATGCCTGGCCCAGATTCTCAAATCTCATCTGCCTCAGATATCTTCTTAAAACGGGGCGGGGGGGAAAAATTAAGAGATTTAAGCAAATTTTAATGCATTCTAAATTACACATTTCTATATATGCACCTTTAACATAAATAACTAATAGGCAATAATACACTTAGGGGATGAAAAGTTTTACCTTGATTATCTTCCGACTGAAATCTACTTAGAGCAGCACCAAATTCTTCCACCGTGATTTTCCTGCGGTTGTGAAGCCTTCGCTGCAGGCCCCTCCTCTCAGTCTGAACGTCTACAAATGGTGTTTTTAGACTCAAAGATGTGGAACTTGAAGGGAGAACCAGACGACGAGTGAGATTCTATGCTGTGTTTTCAACAGTAATGCAGCTGTATAAAAAAAATCTAAACAGGTGGCTCACGGTTTGTAAAATGAAAATACATGCAGCATACATAGCAGGATTTGACAAAAAATATATATACACCGATATATAGATATATATTTATATTTACCTTGATAAAGACAGTGATGAATGGTCATCTAAAGATTCGTCATGTTCCCTTTGAAAACCTTCAAAAACAAACATCTGTTAGCAGGAGTGAAACATTAAAAACAAAAAGTTTCAACTATTTTTTTTCATTTTATTTTATAATAAATTCATTAGGGCTAATATACTTTTAATGTACGTTTTCTCTTGGTGGACAAGCATGTATGTACATAAAGATTTCCTATGATGGGAGAGTAGAAATGATTCTGCTTATTGTTAATGTGCCATTCCCGAATTCTTCTTCTTTTCCTTTCGGCTTTGTTCCTTTTTTTTCAGGGGTTGCCACAGCGAATCATTGATTTCTATCTCTCCCTGTTCTCTGCATCTTCTACTCTGACTCCAACTATCTGCATGTCCTCCCTCACTGCATCCATATATCTCCTCTTTGTCTCCTACCTGTTGGCTCCATCTCTAACATTCTTCTACCAATGTATCCACTGTCCCTCCTCTGCACATGTCCAAACCATCTCAATCTGGCTTCTCTAGCTTTTTCTCCAAACCTTCCTGTCTGTGTTGTCCCTCTAATGACCTCATTCCTGAGTCTGTCCATTCTTGTCACTCCTAAAGAGAATCTTAGCATCTTTAACTCTGCCACCTCCAGCTCCTCCTCCTGTCTTCTGCCTATTGCTACTGTCTCTAAACCATACATCATGGCTGGTCTCACCACTGTCCTGTAAACCTTTCCCTTCACCTTAGCTGACACTCTTCTGTCACAGATCACTCCTGACACTTTTCTCCAGCTGTTCCATCCTGCCTGTACTCTATTCTTCACCTATCTTCCACAATCTCCTCTGCTCTGAACAGTTGATCCTAAGTACCTAAACTCCTGCACCTTCACCACCTCTGCTCCTTGTAGCCTCACTATTTCACTGTTCTGCCTTCCGTTTACACATGACCTTCATTACTCTTCTTTCTAGTGCAAACCTCCACCTCTCTAGGTTCTCTTCTAGCTGCTGCCTACTCTCACTACAGATCACAATGTCGTCTGCAAACAACATTCTAGAATAAACCTTGTTTAAGAGGAAGTTTTTTTTCTGTTACCACTTCGGTCTTGAAGTCGTTTTTCAAAAGCTGTTACGTTGGGGCTTTGACGGTGTCTTTTCCTGCTTAGCCCTTTTCGTGTGGTTCCTACATTTGCGATAGTTAAATCAGGCAGATCCAGATTCGAGTGCTCGATACTGAAAGACAAGAAAATATCATCTTGTTATATTCATTCATAATTTATCATAATGTAGCTGTAGGGAGCTAGAACAGTCTCAAAAAATATATACATACACAAACAAGGATTCACAAATGTATTTTGTACAATTGTTAGCTTAATAAAATATATTTGTGAATTATCTAACGCTCATTTATAACATGCTTTTAATTTGTAAAACTCCCTGCATTTGTTTGTGGATTTTTGAGTCTCGTCTAGAGCGGACTAGATACACAAATGCATTTTTCCTACAGGGGCCCGTCAGCAGCCAATCAGATGTCTCGTTCGTTTGCAGCCAATCACGCGACTGTATCCCCACGAGGGGCCATGTGTGACATAAACACACCGTGTCACAGATATGGCTGTCACCATTTTGTTAGTTGTTAAAATAAACCTTTTTTATAAGAGTCTCAGACATGTGACAGCGTGAGACAGATGAACGTGCACGATGTGACTCACCTGGATCGTTTGCTGGTGATGCCGGAGCTGGTTGAAGGCAGCTGAGGTTCATCAGGCACACGTTCCTCATGATGGACAGGGGACTTGACCGGCTCTGGAATGAAAGTAGAGGATTTTAGGGCAATTGACTTAATGGCTACTTTACTACCTGTTCAGGTAAATGACAGGGCAACACACCTGTAAGGAGGATATTTCTGAGTAGGTGTCTTGGTGTGTCTGACTCGTCGTACAGCAGTGATGCAGGACCTGGAGTGCTTCCCTGTTTAAGTCTTTCAGAGACATTCCTCCTTGTTGTTGCAGACTTTCTGGTTATGCTCTGCAAAATATCGGTGCGGTTGCCTTTAGTGAGGTTCATTTTTTTAACAATAATGAGAAATACAATCCAAACCTACGTTTTACATGAAGTAACGTTTCTCTTGGTTAACTTGTTAATAGGCTCAAATAATCAAGCTGTTATGTGGGATTCATTCAACTAAATACACATTTGCCAGTCTGTGCTTAGCAGTATGACTGATAAATAACACCACTAATATTCCAGTTTTCAATTCAATACAATGCTCTGCAAAGGTTTAGGTAGATGTATACATTTACTGTAGCGCTGAAATGGTATTCTTCATGTTTTTATCAAATGTAGTGAACCAGAAGGTTTTTTTTTTACGGCATCAAACTGCGAAAGGCGCTGCGGTTTGTTTTTCTTCTAGAATGGGCTAAATACCGTATTGGGACTAGAAGAAATGGAAACTAGTGAAGTTTTTGCTCCAAGCCAGTGGGCGGCAGGTCAAATTAATTTCAGTTGTGTTTTATTTGTGTCACAGTGGGAGATGTTCATTGATTTGTAATTATTTTCTTTTTTGGTGAGAAGATTTTTTTGGATTTATAGTGTTTTAAATTACATTCTGAGTTTTGCAATGCCGCAAGCCACATTTCCTCTAAAATACTTTGAGTTTATACTGCTAGTTCAATCTCTCAGCCATTTTACTTTTTAAACATCTACCCTCAATCATCTTCCCAACATGCAAACAGCCATCTTTTAATACTTAATAGACTTCTTCACTTTTGTTTTTAGTGAGACACTTCAGGTAACTGTTGTTGTGTTTTAACCAAAGACTGTAGAAACAATCGGTCCAATGACATAACGAATGACTAATAAATTTGTGGACCACATATGCGATTGGTTGCAAGACTGTCTAAATCAGTGGTTCTCCAACTTTTTCTTCTCTGTACCACCTGAGAAAATATGGAGCTCTCTCAGTACCACCATGATGACCAACATTAGAATACAGCAGCACTATTAGCTTCTACCACACAGGAAAGATGTTTAGAAATGTTTAGAAAGATGTTTATGTTTAGATGTTGTATTAATTGTGCATGGTATGTTTCAATTGAAAATGTAAATGTGAAAATATGAATTTTCGCCACGTACTACTAGAGAGCGCAGTGGTACGCGTACC